GGGACCCGGCTGACCCTCTTCCTGTGCCCCACTGTGCAGCTAACCCTGGCCTGAGCTCTCAGCCACCCAGTCCTGGAGGCCTCGGGCCACAGGGGGCACTCAGGCTTGGTCGGGAGCTCAGAGGGACTCACATCTGGAGAAGCCAGGAGGCCGCAGCAGCCCAGGCTCTGGGTTCAAATTCCAGTTCCACCAACTATGAGCTGTGTGACCTCTCCGAGCCTCCATTTCCTTATCTATAAAGTAGGTACAATAATAACTTTCTCTGCAAGGTGTGCAGGCTGTCATCACAGAATGCAAAATATGTGACACAAAGCTGCCAGGCCACACAGACCTGTGTGCGCTTTGGCGGTCCCTCGGAGAGGAAGAGCCTTCTCGGGCTAGGGCGGTCAGGAAGCCCGGGGGGAGTGGGAAGGGGCTGGACACCACTGCAGAACTGGGATGAGTGGAAGGGGATCTACAAGTGTCTCTGCCACAAAAGGAGCAGCGAGATTTCTCTTGGTCCTGGGGTGGACCCAGGGCTCTGCCACTGAGCTGCATCCCCTCCCTGTTATTTCATCCACAGGGTCTTGTGGAGCCGCTCCAGCTGGCCTCCAAGTCTCTCAGGGGCCTGTGCTCAGCCTCCGAGTAGCTGGGATCACAGGTGTGTACCACCAGAGATTTCTTTTTAATGAAAAATTTTTCATTAAAAGGCAAGATTTTATTAATGAGGAAGAAAATTGTCAAAGAAACCATGATCAGCATCCTCCACTGTCTCCATCCCAAGAGCTGGCACTGGCTCCTTAAACTAATATTTGCCTCTCGGCCTCTGAGAGCTGTGGCCAAGGGTAAATATTGGTTTAGCCTGGGAAGCAGAAGACCAGATGGCAGTTCAGTCCTGCCGGGGTGGACTCCCGCTCTCCTGCTGCCAGGCCGAGCCACACCCTGGACGGGCCCCAGCCCAGAGCAGCCTGTCCCCCAAAGCCTACCTAAAGCCCCATGCTGGTATCCCCAGGCAGTGGGTTCTCCCACGCTGGCAGTGGAACGCTCTGAGTTCTCAGGCCCCGTGCCCTCCTGGCAGCACCATCTTGCTGTGCCCTTGACTCTGGTCAGCCTGTGAGGCCCGCGTCCCTGACCCCCCGGCTCCTGTCCAGAGGGGCTGAATCGTCCTCTTCCGACAACTCTCCACCCTGTCCCGTGCAGATCACGGCCACCTTCCCATGCCAGCCCTCGCCCCAAGGCTCTGCACCACTGCTCCGCCCTGCTCCCCTCTCGGCTCTCCATGAGTCTCTTCCCTTTCCCTGCGTGGGTCTGGGTGGACTCGCCTGCCCCCAGAAGTCTTCCAGCCTTGCGCCCCAGCGCCCACCCGCACCTTGGCCCTCGAGGCCATGCTCGTCACAGGACTGGACTCTCTGGCGTGTCCCCTGTGAGAACGCATCATGATGGGGATGGCTGCTAGGGTCCCCTCCCCTCACACCACCTGGGCTACGGGGGGCTCCAGGGACGCCCAGGACACTGTGTCCCTCCCTTATGTCAGGACGACGGCTGCTCCTCCCGAGCTCACATTTCTGAGAGCAGCAGGGAGACCTCGAGAGGCTGGGATAGAGGTTTATCTGTCCTAGTATTAATCACCCCATAAAACTTGCATTTACTTAGTTGCTGGCAGGGCCTCTTCCTGGAGGTAGGAAGCTCTTATTCTTGGAGATACCAGTGAGGCCTTGGGCCAGGGAGCTGGGAGGAAAGGGGGTGACTGCCCAGCTCTAGCTCGTGGGCCCGAAGATGGCCTGAAGCTGGCCTGCTGGCCATGGCACGGGCCTGGGCTATAATCGAGGTGGGTGGGGCAAGACACCAGCCTGTACCTCACTCTGCCTGGCTCCGTGCCTGCTGTGTGCACACCTGCCTGGCTCGGGGCACCCAAGAACAGGCAAGGTTTGGGGGCTTCCGTTCCAGGCAGAGGCAGGAGGGGACAGGGGAGGCCTGGCAGGAAATCCCTAAAGATCTGACACCAGTTTGGGGGACAGTCACCCTGGGAAACTGACCAGAGTCCTCAGAGCCACCAAGACAGATAGCCACATTCTTCAGAGGAAAGACAGTACTGGGAAAGGGAACCCAGAAAAGCAAGAAGAGGCCGGGTGTGGTGGCACACACACCTGTAATCTCAGCACTTGGGAGGCTGAGGCAGGAGGATCACCTTGAGTTCAAGGCAGCCCTGGGCTACATAGCTACATAGTGAGTTTAAAGCCAGCCTGAAGTACAGTGAGAACCTGTCTCAAAAAAAAAAAAAAAAAAAGAAAGAAAGAAAGAAAGAAAAAGAAAGCAAGAAAGAGAAAGGGAGAGGGGAGAAGAGAGAGGAAAGAAGAAAGAAGAAAGAAAGAAGAGCCAGAGGGGTCAGGTAGGGGAGACACCGAGGCCCTGGAAGAGGAAGACGGGGTGACAGGCGTCACGGGCCGGGGGGGTGGGAAGGCATGGAGCCTGAGTCTGTACAGGGTGGCAGGGCAGACACCACAGAGGGGGGCCCCAGGCAGCAGCACGGCTGATCTCTCCCTCTCTCCCGCTTTCCCTCTGTCTCTTACACATAGACACAAATCAGTTTAAGAAGAACAAACTGGAGAGACAGTTTAATCTGCTAATTGAATTCAGGGGCTGTGGTCAGCGTTTGAAAATGCCTGGGGATTTCGGCGATCTCTGGCTGGGGCTGCAGCCCTGTGGGGTGTGCAGAGCGCCGGCCGGCCAGGACAGCGAGAGTGACCGCCGCCATGCTCCTGCAGACCCAGGTATGGTCAGAGCAGTGGGCCCAGGGGTCGGCGCCCGTCACCTGACCTCCCCTGGGTCCCGTCAGCCCAGGCCATGGCTCCTGCTCCGAGAAGCCCCCTGGGCTCTGTCGTCTCACTGACCTCAGCCTCTGACTTCGGCTTCCCTGCTGTCTCCAGAGCACCAGTGCAGCAAGCTCGCCCTTTCCTGCTCCGAGAAGCCCCCTGGGCTCTGTCGTCTCACTGACCTCAGCCTCTGACTTCGGCTTCCCTGCTGTCTCCAGAGCACCAGTGCAGCCCCAGCTCGCCCTTCCCTACATGCGCCTTGGTTTTCTCCCTGGGTGGGGAGAAAAAACCCTCTCCCAGGCCTGCTGCTGAGAGGTGAAGTGAGCCAGGCGGATGGAAAGCATCCCGGCAGATGGAAGGGATCCTATGACCACAGTGCTAAGTGATTTACTACCGTGTCACGGTGCTGCCCAGTGCGTCCCCAGCAGGTGCCGGCGAACCAGGACCTGCCAAGGGCGCTCCACCTCAGGTAACGAGTCCCGTCCTCCCACTGCCCTGCCTGCCCCTCTCCACCCTGTGAATGTCACTTGGAGAAAGCAGACACGTTACCCCACTTCTCTGCCCCACCAAGACCGTGACTTCCTCTGGTTCCCGTGTGACAGAGCCCGGGCTAAGAGAAGCGGGGGCACAGGCCGGACCCCAGGCCTCAGAGCACGGAGGGGAAGCCTGGCTCCCCGGGAACGCGAGGACGCTGCTAGCCTGGCACCCGCTGTGTCTGCAGCTCCTCCGAAGACCGCTTCTCAAGTTTCCAAAAGAACCCGAGAGCTTTACACACATGGGGAAACCAAGTCCAGGACCCAGCTCTCACTCAGCTACAGGGCCCCAGCTGGCGACGCACCCTTTGCGGTGGCTGGCACCTGGCACCGCCCTGCAGGCTCCCCACTTGTCGGCGGGGAGCAGACACACTTCCACTGACGTGAAAAACACGAAGTTCCTGAGGTGTTGGTTAATGAAAACAGCTTTCTGACCTTTGGAACTTCAGCAGAATGGCTTCTGAATACTCACTGCTTTGTTTTTACTTTCACTGTCTTTTTACTCATATGAAAGTGTTTTTGAGAAGTTTTACTGTTTCTAGGCTCTGAAGCCAGAAAGGAAAAAAAAAGTGCTCACCCATCTTCACGGCATTTCTGTCCAACAGGAGGGGACAAGCTGGGAGGTGGAGGACCTCCCCAGAGCTGGGGGAGCTCGTCTAGACTCTTTAACTTGACTTCATCTTCCCACCAACCCATGTTACTGACAGGAGGCTGAGGCAGGAAGGCTCTGACGGGGCCCAGAGTCTACATGTGCATGCTCACACATGCTCGCACACTCCCACACATGCGAGCACAGTGCCCAAGTACGGCAGGTAGAAGGGTGCTGGTGGGGAGGCCCCGCCCCACACCGGCTCACTGTGTTACCCGAGGAAGTCCAAGGCGCTCTGTATAGGCTCCAGCCCGGAGGTGCCCTGTGGCCAGCAAGCTTGTACCTCAGGGCTCAGGCCCGCACCTGGCACTGCTCCCCACCCACAGGACGTCTGCCCTGCTCCTGCCCTGCAGGAGCCTGATTTACACAGGGCCCAGCAGCAACTGAACAGTCTAGGCCCCATAGTGCTGTCTACTCCCATCACTGCTAACCTGGCGTCACTGCCAAAAGCACTGGTCAGTGTGGCTGCCCACACCTGTAGTCCCAGCTGCTCAGGAGGATGAGGCAGGAGGATACAAGCTTTAAGGTAGCCTGGTGCACTTAGCAAGACACTGTCTCAAAGTACAAGCTAAGAAGGGCTGGAGGTGGAGCTGTGACGGAGCACTCTGGGCTCAGTCCACAGGGAAAAGCGACCCCAGGCAGGTCCCAGCCCAGGTGGGAGCTCACCCTGGAGCAGGACAGACTACACAGAGGGGCAGCCCCACCACCCTCCACCGCCTCAAATTCAAGTCTCCAATTCTGTTGTCCCAGCAATGGAATCAGCCTCACAGGGCCACTGTGAGAACAGGCAGCACTGACATCCCTGGCATGTGCCAGGCCCTCTGTAGACCACAGTCACTGCGACCAACACTGGTGAGTCCTGGAAACAGGGTCTGAGGGGTGTGTGCGTCCCAGGCTTGGGCTGAGGGCTGAGGAGGTGGCCCCTCATAGGCATCCCTTGCTGAAGCTGCAGGGGGAGCCGGCCCTGGGGTCTAATCCCGGGGCTTTGCTGCCTGACACCCGGCGAGGTCAGAGGGTGGCACTCACCTAGCAGCTGGACACCCCGAGTGAGGCCGTAGACGTCCACCAGGGCCCAGAGCGGGTCAGCCGTGGGCACCCCGCTGAAGAAGAGCATGGCAGTGGAGCCGTTGATTCGGTAGAACACCCGGCCCTTCTTGTCCACCCAGAAGGCGATGATGTTCCCCTCGTTGGCAAACTCCTCAGGCAGCGCCTTGGCCCAGAAGCCGCTCTGGGACACCAGGTCGGGGCAGGCATACTTGGGCAGCGAGTCGGGGTGGATGCGGGACGGGTCCTTGCTTGTGAAGCCCAGCCGCAGGGCCCCGCTCCAGCAGCACTGCTTCTTGGTGATCTGGTGGCAGGAGGTGGCCTCAGCCCAGCATCCCCTGGGCCGGGGAAGGCAGGCACCCTTTCGTGCCATCCACCCTCAGCGACTCCCGGGGAACCTGCCATGCACGGGGGCAGCCAGGGCCCAGGCCAGGCCGGGCTCCTCCTTGTCACACGAGAAGGCAGGGAAAGGAGGGGAAGAGGGAAGGGTGTGGGAGGGGGTGGCCGGGACCCACCTTCAGCCTGACTTGCTCGTAGAGCAGCACCGGGCGGTTACTGAAGGTGATGGCGTTGCAGAAGCTGGCCTGCCTCTTGACGGCCTTGTGGCTGAGGTCCATGAGGATCTGGGAGCCCTTGGTGTGGGGGTGGAAGAGCAGCGGTGTGGCTGGTAGCCCCCCGCCGGGCAGCACCGGGGGGCAGTGCTTCTGCTTGTGGTGGCAGCGATGAGAAGTGGTGGGGAAGGGGCCCCCGATGGAGTCTGCAAAGGAACCAGAGTGCTCAGCAGGTCCAAGAGCCAGCCTGGAGCCCCGAGGAAGGTGAGGGTTGGGACACAGGGGCTGCCTTGCACCTCCGCCATCCGCCCTCCACCCCAGCCACCTTCACCACTGCTGCTCCTGCTGCTGCCCACCTCAGCCTCCACTCGCCGGTTACCACCCCCTCGGAGTGGCGCATGACCCTCCGTCCGCCCCCTCCTTCCACCGCCAGCCCTGTAAGTCACCCCCACCGCCACTTATTCAACAAATATCCATCCCATGTCCATGAGTACCAGGCCCTGTCCTATCCACTGGGGCTCCAAATATGAAGCACATGAGGATCCTATCCTCCTGAAACCCACAGCCCAGGAAGAGACAGACATGGACGGAAACCACGGTGCAAAATGGCACGGTGAGGCCACCCACAGGGCCAACGGGCAGGTCACGTCCCTGGAGAAGAGGAGCAAACACCACGCAGGCAAGCATGGTCCACTGCTGACCAGGAGGGGCACCACTGGGGCCACCTCCCCACCCCAGCTTCCTCCTGCCCTGCGCATGGTGCTTTCTGCAGGAATAGCTCTCCCTAGCTGAGATAGAGCACTGGGCCAGAGAGGCGAGAGAGGAGAGGAGCACAGTCAGGGGTCTGTCTGTCACTCGCTGGCCACGGGGCTTTGGGAGGAGCTGAGACTCTCCCCTCTCTCGGCAGTGGGCCAGTTCGACCACCCGGGCTGGGGACCTGAGGGTGCCCTTCTCCCCAGGACCTGCACCAGCATTCCTTCGGGAGGAGGAGGACACCCATCCAGTCTTCCTGAGGAGCGAGACCACAGAGGGCGGCGAGGAGGAGGAGTGCAGAGCTGGGAGAGGCAGGCCTCCCCGACCTGCTCCACTCCACGGGGCAGTAAGGGCAGGACGGAAGGGAGCAGGGAGGGAGACCTGCGTCCAGGCGCTGCCCGGGTGGCATCATCTCCTCGCCTCCCTGCGTGTTTTCCTTCCCTGTACTCCTGAGGCCAGCACCAGCTCCCCTCCAGGGCCGGGACCCAGTGCACAGACGGCGTCTCCGGAACAGCTCCGGTGTGCCAGGCCGAGAGCAGGATGGCTCGGGGGAGGCTCGCCGTCTCCCTCCTGGGAGAAAGCTGCTCTAGAGCCACCTGACCCACAGGGCTGCAGAGCCACCATGCTGGCTGCACGGCTGGGGGTGCTTCCCGGAAGCTGAGTGGCCAGCAGTGCAGAAGAGGGGCAAGCAGTCTGGGAGGGACGGCGAGGGTGGCGCTGGGCTCCAGCGGGCCTGGGACACAGCGCATCTCCGTTTCAAACAACACCTGCTGCAGGCAGGGGCATCACGCTGTCGGTGTACAGCAGCAAGCGGGTGAAGCAGGGAAGTCCGAGGGGGAGCTGTGCACATCCGTGCTCGTGCTCAGCAGTGACAGGCAACACTGCAATTTGCACAACATGTGTTTCGAGCCGGTTACAAACAGGGCAGAGTCCGTGCGAAGCCGCAGTTCTCCCCCGCAGCCCTCCCTGCTCTTCCCCTGCTTCCACTGTGGCAGACCCTACTGAGTGCAAACACAGCTCCAGGGACCAAAATCAACAGGGGCACAGGGCGAGGCAGAGAGCGGGGGCACCCAGGAGCACGAGGCAGCAGCGGGTGACAGCTGTATGGGGGTGTGCTCAAGTCCAGCCCATCACACTAGACGCACGCAGGCCAGTGTATGGCAGTGGCACCTCTGAAGGGCAGTCAGTCTGACCGTGTTTGTTTGGCTGGTTTTAGGTTTTTGGTCTTTTGAGACAGGCATTGCTAAGTTGCCCAGCCTGGCCTCCAGCTCTCTATCTTTTAGCCTCAGTGTCCCCAGTGCTAGAATTATAGGCATGGGCCACACACCTTGCCATAAGTCAGTTTTTGGAAACCCACTGAGTCCGGCTGCTGAGCGGAGCTTCTCCTCTGCAGTCACTGCTTCCGAGGACCACGGACCAACTGCAGGCCTCAGCCCTTCAAACCGTTCCTTTCCTTCCCACCCACCCTGCCAGGGACCTGTGGTCCTGGGCAAAAGTCTAGAAAACACTTACAGTGGTGACCCCACGGGCTGAAGACCCAGCCCTAGAAGGACATTCCCCGGGGCTCCCCTTCCACAGGGAGGACCCAGAGCCCAGTCCCCATCGGTCCCAGAGCTGTGGGCGTGGAGCACCGGGTCCACATCCTGGTGCATCACAAAACGGATGGCGACAATGGGCCCAGAGCGTGCAAAGACTCTTGTGGACACACAAAGCAGAGCGCGGCTCACCTTTCTTCCTCATCCCTGACCCCAGGAGCCCCATATTCATACACACAGAACACACCCCGCCACATCGTCCAGGAAGCATGGCATCATTTACCAAGCACTTCTGGGGCCAGGCTCTGGACCCAGAGCTCTCTACATACACTTGGCAATTTCACCTGCACTGGTAACTCACAAGATAGGAAGGGATGTCATCAACCCAACTTATGGATGACAAATCTAAGCCGAGAGAGCTCGAGCTGCTTGCCCAAGGTCCTGCAGCAAGCAGGAAATGGACCTATCTTGCTCCATGACCAGTGCCATTAACCATTTAGTACTAACAGGAGGAGATCACAGCCTTGGTGTGCTGAATACATTTTCTAGATGCACATTAAAATGTGGCCACAAAACATGAAAAAATCATCCATGTACCATCTGAAATCAAGTCACGGAGCACAAAGGGGACACGTGGCATTCTGCCCTGTGCCACCAGAACAGAGACGTAGAAGGTGTTCTCAGCTTCACCCCTGATGGTGGGATGCAGAGGAGGGGATGGGCTGGCCGCACCTCACAGAACCGAATACTGTCCTTACCACAAAGCACTCCCACTGCCCAAAAGCATGCCCACAGCACGACCAACCCGCAGCTCCACCCAACACCACCCCAGGCAGACACAACCCAGGCATCCTCTGAGTAGTGGACAGACAGACCAAATGTGCAGCACCACGCCACGCTGCCGCTCTGCAGGGGAAACAGACCTCACCACACGGCAAGGATGGACAAGCTCAGCAGTGCTCGGAAGGAAGGAAGCCAGACACAAAGGCTCCAGGCTGTCGTCCACCCGCCTGATGCCCGAGAAAGGCCACAAAGGCAAGAGATGTCAGAGTGCAGGGTGAGGAATGAGGTGTGACCACAGTGGGGCACAAGGATATTTCCGTGGCAGAAACACTCTGTCTAGATGGTGGTAGTGGTTACACAACTTTTACACATTTGTCCGGGACGTGATACACTCTAAAGGATGAATGCACCACACAGACATTAGACTTCAGTTACAAGGCAACAACCAACGAGTCAGGGCTTCATGAAGTTGAGGGGAAGAGAGGATGCAGTTTTTACCCCATCCTTGCAGCCATCTACAGGAGATCCCCAAACTGTCATTCCGACCCAAACCTTGAGTCCTTCCCCATTGAACTGAAATGGGGTGCCCTGTGACCCATGGGTGTGGACAAGTGCAGTGCAGTTTGCACTGCACCCTGCTTCCTGTACCTGTCTTCTCAGCCCAAGTGTGGCCTCCCAGGACAGCTACGGAAGCCATCCTGCCCTCGGGCGCGGTCCCAGACCCTGGCTCTGAGGCCAGGTGGCTGTGCCAGAGACTTCTCTGGTTTGCTGAGCAGCTCTGGCGCCCAACAGGCCTTGCTGGAGTACTGTCATCCCCTCCCCACTCCAAGCTCTGGGGAGTCCGTGAGTGCCCACACTCGAGCTGCCAGTCCCACCTCAGAAACCATATCCCTGTCCACTCTGCTGTCACGGCCTTCATTCATTCAGGCCTGATCGCTTCTCTTTGGAACCAGGCCTGGGCCCTCAGACACAGCCTCAGAGGCCGGTGTGCTCTTCCCAAGTACTGCACTGTGAATGGTGGCCTCAGAGGTGGCCGTAGTGACTGTCAACCTAGAGTTCTGTTGTCTCCTAGACAGCAGTGGGACAGGCTGTGGGCAGGGAGCACCTTGCAGCCAGACTGAACAGCAGCCCCATCAGAGCCCTCAGGAGCATCCTCTCAGCGACAGGTCCACAAGCTCCAGGCCAGGTGAGGCTGTCACCATGGAAATGCACCCCCTTGGCTCTGTCCTCCTGGGTGCCAGCCTGGCCAGCCCTGAGGCAAACCCCAGCCTCACCTTCCTGCCCCGCTCAGGGTCCCAGTGCACAGCAGGCTCTGGCAGGTAGTTCAGAGGACACAGAGAGGGAGCCACCCACCTCCACCACAGCAGCAGCGCATAGATCAACAGGGAAGATCCTGGCTTCTGCCCCCAGGGCCACTCTGACCCAGGCCCTCCAGCCACAGTGAAGAGCCCTTCTGAGCCCAGCCCAGCTGCCACCATGCCCAGAAGCTCTGTCCCCAACTGCAAGAGCTCTGGGAGCCTCCCTTCCTCGTCTGTGAATGGAATCTTCGCGGTTTAGAGGAGACTCAGGACAGAGGCTCAGGAGGGCTTGCTGGCCATGCCAGGACTAAGTCCCGGTCCCACTGCTCAGCACTTCCTGCTTTATCCTGGCTCAGAACCCTCCCAGGCCTGACCCAGGCTCTGCTGACCCACTGGGGCCTCTGCATCTGAGCCTCTGCCTCGTGGCCCTGGACACAGGCTCTCGCCTCGATGGTTTTTCTCCCACGAAGGAGGCTGCTGTCACTTTCTGGGCAGCAGGGGAGGGCACGGATGACGAGCACTGGAGCAGGAGTCCCTGGGCCCAGGCCCACTGTGTGATTCTGGACAAGTCGCTTTGCCTCTCTGGACATTGAGTTCTTTCTCATCAACCACTCTGCCCTTCACCACGGGTTACTGCAACAACCGGATGAGCTCCTGAGCTTCTAGCGAGAAAGAACTTGGGGGGTCTCCACAGACTACAGGAGAGCTCACAATTTGAACTGACTTCTGCACGATAAGTGAACAGGGCTCCCTCCGAGGAAGGAATTGGGGAGGGGACTTGGGCGACAGAGTCAACTGTAAAACTGGGCCTGAGTGGCTCCTGGGGCTCCCTAAAGGAGTCTGCCTCCCCTCTGTAGTGGGTCCAGCCCAACCTCTTCCTCCCCCGCCCCACCGCATGCCTGACTTTCTCTGGGTTGTGCTGCAGCCGAGATCCTTCCCACAAGTCTCTCTGACCCCAGACTAGGTTAGGGCCCTACTACAGACCTCTGGGGACCTCCACACCACAGCAGACAGCTACTCACAGCCAAGCAGCCTGCTCAACCCCAGGAGCCCCAGAATGAAGCCCAAATGCCCCCAGACACTCGCTGTCTGCCTATGCAGCACCGCAAGTCCCTTTCACACCCAGAATGGCGCTGGGTATAAGCCGTCCTTGAGAGAGAACAGTCTCACAGGCCCTGCTGCGTTCTGCAGAGCAGACCCAGGCTGGGAAAGACTGTCACTGTCTGTCTGTCCTGACAGACTGTGGGCCTCCTGGGGGCAGAGGCCTCTCTGACAGCTGTTTCTCTGATGCCCAGCTCAGAGCACAGAGCACCGCTCAGCAGAAACTGCCAAGGAGTGGCCAGCGTCGGTTCATCTCAGTCTTCCTAGACTACGGGCAGGTGTCCACAGAGCACTCGGCATGTGCCTCACCTTTCCAGGGCCCAGGGAGACACCAGCAAAGGGAGGTAATAAAGGAGCAGCTTCCTTCCAGCCTAGTGCCAAGGCCCCACGCTGCACACCCGACCTCAGCACTGGCCCTGCTCAAGAACCTCCATAACTCCCCACTTGCCGCCAGGAGAAAAGGAGGAAGGGAGGCCATGAGGGTCGGCACTGCTCTTCACAGCCAGCCTGTCTCTCACCCCGAACCCCCTATCTGCAGGGAGCAGTGCCTGCTGTGGCCTCAGTGCACACCATCGTGTGTGCAGGCTGGACCCACAGCCCACTTCCAGACCAGAGTTCAGCTGGGCAGTGGCACACCACTCCCACGCCTGGGTCTGGGAAGATGGACGCTTCCACCTTGGCTACTCCGAGGAGCCCAGATGCCATGTGGTAGATGCCCTGTGGTAAAGCCCGTCTGGTGGGGGACCAAGGTCTGCCCGTGAGAGTGAGCAGTGAGCAATCTTGGAGACAGGAACCTCCACGAAAGCCTTCAGGGGAGGCTGCCTTTTTGTTTTAAATACTAGGTCTTCACACTGAGCTACATCTCTTTTTATTGGAGACATTGCTAAGTCACTAAGTTGCCCAAGCTGAGCTCAAACTTGGAATCATCCTGCCTCAGCCTCCCAGAGTGCTGGAATTACAGATATGTTCCACCATGCCTGGCCCCAGCCAACAGTTTGTACCCTTATGAGAGATGAAGCCAGAGGCAGCTAGTTGCACTATGCCAAGGTTCCCGACCACAGAAACCGCCAGACAATTAAGTGTGTGTTGTTTCAAGTTTCAGGGCAGACTGCTGCACAGCAATAGATCATTAATACAGTATGATCGTCCTGTTCCTCAGGTAAGGGAAAGGAGGACCCAAGAGCTAAGGACTCACCCGGGGCCAGAGTCACACAAGGGTGAGTGGCTGAGCAGGGCTCCGAATGCCCATCAGCCCTCAGAGTCCCAGAGTCAGGAAGATTTGATTCCTGTCCTCATCCCCCCAGCCCCTAATGGCAAATGCTAGCCCTCTTCTGGTGGCCCATGGGGCTGGGGGCGCAGCCAGAGGAGCCCTGAGCGACCCCCACATAGCCCTCCGTCTGCCACTGCCAGTTGCTAGGCACAGCCCACAGCCCACCTGGCCCTCTCTACAGCCCCGAGGGCAGACGTCACCGTCCCAGCCCACACAGGGGACACAGACACGCGGAGGGGCCAAGCCCAAGCCAACCCATGAGAGCAGAGCAGCGCCCATCTCCGAGGACACCCCCAGCCTCCCTCCGCTGTCCACCTCGTCCGGCCGCCTACCTCCTGGCCACCCCTCAGCTCCACCAACAGCCTGAACCCCACACACTGCCCTCTGCCTCCCTGACCAGGCACCTGCTAGTGCCCTAGTGCCAGTCAGGGAGCGGAGCTGAGGGAACAGGGAGAGGATCAGCCTGCTGCCTGCCCTCCCGGAACCCCACGCTTCTGGGTGTGGGTGTGTGGCCGGAAGTCACAGACACACCCTGGGCTCCAAGGGGCTGTTCTTGGCCTGAGCCCCCAGAGCTGCTGGAGGAGCCCCTCTGCACTACTCGGGGCTCACAAGGATGCCTCCCCTGTGCCCGCTTGCTTGCTTGAGAATTAAGGAACCCAAGCAGGAGAAGTGGGGAGTCAGCCCCGATGGGGCAAGGTACGGTGTGCCCTCGAAGGCACCAGCTGCACAACCTCAGCACTTCCCTTTCCAGGCCATGCACCTCTGTGAAAGGAAGAAGTGGGAACCAGTCTCTCAGGACCCCAAGCCCCGGCGCCCTCCGATGCAGGCTGGGTGACCTGCCTGTCTGGCGTGCATCTGGGTGTCACCCACATGTCACCCCTCAGCAATGGGGCTGCCCTTGGGGTTACTGCTGCCGCTGTGTCCCTCTGTGATTCCTGCCGGCCCCAGCCTGCTGAGGTCCAGCAGCTGCCCTGGAGAGCTGCCTGGTGAGAGAAGATGGTGTAACCACTCCAAGCGCCTCCCAAATGGGAACACATTTCTCCCATCAGTGCCTCCCGGACTGGTCCCAGAGGAGTCCACTACACACACACACACACACACACACACACACACACACACCACGGGCACAGAGTACACCACAACTGCCTACAGCTACTCACCTAGCAGTGCAGACAGGACAACATGCGGTCTCTTCAATGCACAGACAAACTTCACAGCACACACACAGAGCTCCAGAACACAGGCCCACCAGTTACAGAGAGCAGAAGCAGAGCCCCAACACTTCCTCAGCACAAAGCTTAGGTTAGCCCAGCCCAGAGTGCCGGTGGGTTTCCGCCACCCCTCCCTCACTGCAGCCCAGCCAGAGTCCTCGGGCTCAAGTCCTCAGGCATGCCCAAGGCCCCAGGGGAATACTTTAGGGCATTTGGGCAAGACTTCAGGGCCATAAGCAACCCAGGGAAGGGCCCCTGCCTGCGCCTCCTGCTGGCCCAGCTCAACTCACAGGGAACGAACCCAGAGCTCCTGGGCAGTCCGTGTGGATGTCCAGGTGGCCTGTGAGCATGCGTGGGTGGGTGGGTGTGGCTCCAGCAGGGGACTCGTGGGCACAGGCACACTCCCCTCCACACCCCATCTCCTCCTGTGAACAGCAGGCAGGGAAACAGGACGTCCGACTAAAGCTCTCCAGTGACCCCAGCCTGGCCGCCCACCCAAGCTGTCCTGCTGCCCCAGGAGAATGGGACACAGGGCAGCGACGGACTGCAACCTGGGGCTGAGCACACTTGTCCACACCCCCTCGATTTTCCTGCGAGCTGACCCACACAGTCCTCACTACAAGCTGGGAGGACGAGGTGCCCGCCCTCAAAACATGCAACTCCACACCCCGGAGCACGCCCTTGGGCCTCAGGGTCCCCACACTCGGGAGCCCGGGCTTTGGCAGCTGGAGGGCAGAGTGCCAAGCCCGGAGCTCACTGAGACCTCTTGCCCTCTTCATGGACACACGCTCGCCCAAGTCTGACCCCAGTGGAAAATGTCGACAGCCCGCGGGCCATGTGTGCCCTGAGGAGCCCCCGCCACACAGCCAGGCCAGTCGGCCAGGTCAGCCTGCCCAAGTCTCCAGCCAGGCCAGCCGCTGGCACTGCCTGGCCAGCTCCGGATTATGTGTCTTCCAGGGCCTCCCATCTGTCACTCGGCCTCCAGGCTCAGGACAAAATTCATTTCCTTTTAAGAGGACCAATGGTTTGCTTTTCCTGTGTCTTTCTCGGCCTTTTTCTTTCTAAATTAGAAATTACTCTGCCAAAATCCAGAGTTTAGCTGGAGGAAGCCACCTGGCCACCTATCCTGGCCACAGCTCCAGGCCTCTCCACACCCAGCGGATTTGCGGAGGGAGGCCACTCGCCTCTGGACACCCTGTCCAAGCGGACAGCCGGGAGCGTGGCAGGGCCCCCACCAACTCTGGCACACCAGACTGAGAGGACCTAGCTCCGGTGCTGAGGAAGGTGGGCCCCTGGGGGACTGGGCTCCACCAGCTTTGGCTCCCAGGACCACAGCACCCAGCCAGGGGCACAAGAGGACCAGAGCGGGAGCAGGCAGGGGCCCAGCAGACAGGGTCCCTCCACACTTCTGAACCCCCAGCCACCCGCCAGTCTGTTGGATGGATGGAGATGAACCATGGGGTCAGGAACTCAGCAGCCTCCCTCACAGAAGCCACGCTTTGAGAAGCAGTTTGTGCAGCATGGGGTGTCACTGGCACGCCCAAGGGGTCAGACACAAGAGGCATAGCACACACCCACAAAAGCTCCACAGCACAGACACGCACACATAATCCAGTACACACGCGTGCGAACACACACCTTCCCACCATGGGTCACCGCACCAGCTCCGCAACCCACGCCAGGGCCACAAACAGCCCCCAGCTGTGCAGCCGTGGCTGCCTCCGTCCAGGGGAGAGGCGGGCAGGGACAGCCAGGATCTCCTAATCCACCCAGGGCTGCTCAACACCCCTGAGAGGACAGAGACTGCGGGGACCCCGCGCCTGACCTGGCTCTCCTCAGCATTTGGGGCTCCCAAGGAGCGAGGGCCAAGGGGGTGACCGAGCCCTCGGTCCCAGTGCCCTGTCCCAGCTCTCAGGCTGTCCCCGTGGGGATGGGAGGGCATCCAGCACCCACGGGGGCCTTACCGCGGAGGGTGCTCCGGGTGATCTGTCCCCCCATCGCTGGCAGCGGGCAGTGCGGCCACCTCCGTCTGGCTGGCCAGCCTCGTCGCCGTCACCAAGCGGCCCCAGACGTCAGCTCCCCTCCTCCCCCCAGTCCTCCCCAGGGCCGGCAGGCATGGCAGGGCTGAGAGAGCCCTCCCGGATGCACACAACCGGCGTGGCCACACACACGCACACTGCCTCCCAGCTCCCACCCGCTCTGAGCTCCCCACCTCCCGCTGTACAGGCGATGGGCTCTGTCGTGTTTATTTACATAAGGAGGAGGAGACTGGAGGCAGCCTGAAATAGCCCAGCTCCAGAAAGCACTGCGATGCCCCAGTGCTCTCCCCTCTCGAGCCTCCTGTCTCTCACACACACACCCCACAGACACACGGGGATACAGTGACACACACACACGATTCTCCCACCATCTGGGCCTGCAGCCCTTCATTCTTCCCGTGCTCCTCCGAGCAGGCACAGGGCTGGGCAAGGGGGTGGCAGTGAGCAGAAGGACACTGTCCCTGCCCTCGGGGTCTGGGTCAGGCTGGGGCCATGGATGAAGACCTGACTCCCTCTCTACCTTCTTCCAGGCTCTGCTCAGAGTTCTCCAGATATGGGCTCCTTCAGTCCTCACAGGCTGCTGCTGCGACAGGTTCAGGAGATGGTCATCTCAAAGCCGAAAGACCGAGACCAAGGGAGGAGATGCACCAGGGGTGGCCAGGCTGGGGCGCAGGTGCACCCTGGGAAGCCAGCATCAGAACCCAGGTTTCGGCCCCACACCAAGCCATCCCTTTACGCACACCCTGTCTGCCTGTCCCGACTTCTCAAAAATTTAACTCAACTGGACCACACTTATTAACCACCTACTATGTGCAGAGCCACATCTATGCATGGGGAATGCAATGGTGACGGACATCGGGGGCCCTCCTTTCTTGGACTCACAGTGCAGAAGGAAACAGAGACTTACCAAGCAGCCTCGGAAGGAAAGTGTGAATGCTGTTTGAAAGGAACAGTATATAACATCCAGAAAAGTAAGACACTCTGTATAATCACCACCCTAGAGAGGTTTGAAATAAAGGATTCTGCTCAGAGTTCTCCAGATATGGGCTCCTTCAGTCCTCACAGGCTGCTGCTGCGACAGGTTCAGGAGATGGTCATCTCAAAGCCGAAAGACCGAGACCAAGGGAGGAGATGCACCAGGGGTGGCCAGGCTGGGGCGCAGGTGCACCCTGGGAAGCCAGCATCAGAACCCAGGTTTCGGCCCCACACCAAGCCATCCCTTTACGCACACCCTGTCTGCCTGTCCCGACTTCTCAAAAATTTAACTCAACTGGACCACACTTATTAACCACCTACTATGTGCAGAGCCACATCTATGCATGGGGAATGCAATGGTGACGGACATCGGGGGCCCTCCTTTCTTGGACTCACAGTGCAGAAGGAAACAGAGACTTACCAAGCAGCCTCGGAAGGAAAGTGTGAATGCTGTTTGAAAGGAACAGTATATAACATCCAGAAAAGTAAGACACTCTGTATAATCACCACCCTAGAGAGGTTTGAAACAAAGGAGCAGCCGGGCGTGGTGGTGCACACCTGTAATCCCAGCACTCAGGAGGCTGAGGCAGGAGGATCACCGTGAGTGTGAGACCAGCCTGGACTACATAGTGAGTTTCACGTCAGTCTCAACTACATAGTGAGACCCTGTTTCAAAAAACCAAAAAAAGAAAAGAAAAAAGAAACAAAGGAGCAAAGTTCTGAGGGCTCAGGACAGATTTTCTGCGGGGGGTGGGGTGGAGCATGCCTCAGAAAGACAGCCCAGCCTGTGCAAAGGCCCTGAGCCTGAGGAGCAGGCTCAGCAGAAGGAATACAGGGAAGGTGGCTACTGGCAACCCCAGATGGGCTGGGGTACTCCATGAGTGCCTTGGGGAGCAGGGTGAAAACTCTGGCAATAGGAAACCCCTACCAGTGCCAGCAGGGGTTCCCAAGACCAGCCTTGAACTTCACAAAAGTCACTCCACCACCTGTGGGGTCCTGCTGCTCTCCAGGAGGGCTGTGCAGCAGAGCTACCACTGACGGAGAGGGAGCAGGGCAGGGCCCCCACTGTCACAGCGCTCCAATGGAATGCCGGCAGGGCGGGGACCCAGGCCTTCCAGCGACCTCCTGAAGGGTTCCAGCCCCTGCAGGCTCCTGGCTCAAGCAGCTCACTGCCTGGCTGCACCAGGACGCAGCAGGGTCCTTGTCTGCAGCGTCCCTTCCTCCTGCTCCCCCAGGCTGTGTCCAGGGCCTCTCTGGGAGGTGGCACCCCTCTACAGGCCGGAGCCAGCGATGCTCACCTTCGGGGTTTAATTCCGGGGCACCACATAGACTTCACATGGCCAAAAGGCTCCAGTGAGAGAGAAGACCGCTGACCACACACACCATCCATTTGCCCGGCAAGCACTCACTGAGCCCCAACCCGCAGGGGCCAACTGGCAAGCAAGATGCAGGCACTCTTCGAAGCCATTCCCAGGCCCAGGGGCCACGCTGGGACTCGGGAATGACGTTCTTTGGGCTCTGGGCTCTAAATTATCCGTTCTATTGCCACACTGTGCCAGCAGATCCAAAGAAGAGGTGTGCATGCTCCCGCTGCTGACCCTCAGCAGCTCCTGGGAACGGGCTAAGGGTTTTGCATATGTAATCTCAGCAACCCACAGCATCCCTTCAGGAGCTGTAATCCTGCTTTTGCAGGCTGCAACACAGGCTCACAGAGGCGATACCAAGCGGACAATGAACTGGGCTTTAAACCTAGTCCTGCCTGGCATTGGAACCCCCGCTCTTTTCAGAAAAGGTAAAAGGACAGGGCTCCTCTCGCCTGGGGAACAGAAGAGCACCTTCTCCTGAGAAGGAGGGTCCCGGGTGGTGGCAGACCCTGGCAGTTTCTCGGGGAAGGGAGAGCAACAAACACCCCAGTTGAAACCCTGATGCAAGCAGAGGAGCAGGCCAGGTAGAAGCTGTTGGTCCAGGCAGATGCGTGCCCACTCTGGGAGAGGACAGACGGGAAGCAGGACTGCCCTGGGCCGCCCTCGCATGAGTGTCTCTGCCAGGCTCCCAGAGAAACCCTCTTCCTTTCCAGGGGAGCTGCAGCTACCCCTGGGCCCCTTAGCTTTCTGCACCCCTCAGGTCCCGGGTCCTGCCCCATCTTGCAGCCCCTCCTCTGCCTGCCTCTCCAGCTTCTCTGCCCCTCCTTCCTCTGGGCACCATTGTAGCTCAGCAAGTCCTTTCTCATCTGCATTCCCAATGTCCGACACCCACATCGCCAGCCCAAACTTGCCTTCGTGGAATGACAAGTCAGAGACAGGGCCAGCAATAGCAAAAGAAATCAGGTACAAACTCATGGGGCAAGAGAAACCATGTGAGTCCCGGGCCCAGAGGCCTCTGCCTGTGCCCCTGTGCAAGGTGCCCAGGGCCTTGTACAGTGGAGTAGATAAGTGCAGGAAGAATGGAGCTCAGGGCTGAGGTCTTCTAGGCTGTGCTTAGTGTGACAGAGGCCGGGGCTCTGGGAGGCACAGGCCACAAATCTGTACAGGGAGAGGAAATGCCTCTCTGCTCTGAGGCAGGGGAGGTGGGTGAGGGGTGTCCCAAGGGGCAGGGAGGTGAGGTGGCTGGCTGGGGGAGCTGGGAGCTGGTTGCCACAGTTTTTCCAACAAGAACAAGAGATAATTTGATTGAGGCGATGAGTCACCCAGTATCTAGAGCTTAAGGCCAACCTGCCCATTAGGCTGGGCCTGGTGCTGGGGAGTGGGGAGCAGGGAACCCTATCCCAAGCTTTATCCCATGGCCAGAACCAGGACAAGAGTGCAGGCTGCTGCCTTGGCTCTGAGAGCAAAGGACACGAGGACAAAGGCACTGGGAGACAGAGACCCTGAGCTGCAGGCTGCAGAGAAACCAGAGCCAGGCAGCCCAGAAGGCGTCCTCAGGGCTGGGCAGGTGCCCCAGCAGTGACAGCTGCCAGCTGCCCAGAATGCTGGGAACACAACAGGTGCAGATGCAGGGGCGGGGACTGAAAGGGGATCAGGGAGAACAGCCTGGCATGGGCCCCTCTTGGCTCCTCCCTGGCCCCAGGCCTGTTGCCAGGCAGCCTATGCTGGGACCCCCCCAGGACAAACAAACCTGAGAACACCCCCAGTTCTGGGCCATCCCAGACTAGACAGAAGGGTAGCTACCATGACAGGCAAGAGGACAGACAGGAAGAAACCGGGTTTCTGTTCCCAAGACAGTGTGCCAGACCGAGGCCACACTCACAGAGCCCCTGGCTGGAAGCGATACGATTTTTGTCACCGGCCAGGAAGGGAGGATGGACGTGCCCACCCCACCCATACACAGGCTGGGAGCGCTGGTCTTGAGGTCAGACGAGTCAGCTCTATGCCGTGTGACCTGGCGAGCTCTGGGGTTCTCTGAGGCTGGGCCATCTCTCCTCTGACACGGGTATGACATGGCACAGGCGCCGGTGAGGACCAGCACAATGTCCGTGTGGCTGCTGCCTGGCAACTGCCCTAAGACCCTGAGGAGTCAGGAGTGCAGGTCCTGCAGGGGCTAAGGCCCCACCCAACCTCAAGGGGTGTGGTGCAGGCAGGAAAGGCGAGGACCTCTCTCACAGGGGCACGCCATGTCACACAGCATCACTTCCTGTCCCTGCCCTGCACGGCACTACTCTGAAATTTAGTGTGCCACTGCTTGCCTGTGGGATATGCAAATGCCATGTCACTGTGCCAAGGATTGGCGGGCCTGCTGGTAAGGAGATTAAGCACTGCCCCTTGTCACCTGGCTGGCTCTCTGTGTCTGATCTGATGGAATGAGTTTTAAATTTGAACCCAACTCTTGCCCCAATCTTAAGTAACAAATTACCAGGGTCTGAATTCATAAGCCTCCCTCATTACAGTATAACCTTGCTGGGAAGGCAAGGAAGGACAGACAAAGAGACATCTCCTGCGGGAGGAAAGGCAGTGAGGCTGGGAGGCCTGAAGCAACTCAAGAGCCGAAACGGCATGACTGTGCATCGGGGGTACGGAAATGCACTGACACCCCTGACAGCCTGTGGATTATAAGCAAAGCTGCAGCTGAGCAGACGAAGGCCCCCTGTGCGGGCAAAAAACCTCCCCACCCCTCCGCTCACCCCAGCCTACTCCCCGCATGCCACCCATTCTGGCACTGGGCCCCAGGCTGGCAGGAGCCACACCCTTTCCCCTCTCTGCCTCC